AAAAAAAAAAAAAAAAGTTCTAAAAAAACCCCTCAACTGCCGAAGTTTCTGAAGCCCACAAATTAACATATTCCTCATCAGTCTTAAACTCCGACCAAAATAATTCTTCGGCAACTGTCCGTACACGTCTCATTTAGAGAATCCATATCAAAGAAAATATTGTAAAAATGTCTGCTAGAACCGTGCAACTTTCGACAGAACTAAAAATGATGACCAAACCGCAAGGTGATAGAGGAACGCCTGAACATTTTAGTCCCGACATAGCCAGTAGATGAAATTAAGAAAAGCTTAATAGGTAATAGGAAAAGAACAGAGTAGGATTAATAAATTCTTAAAGAACAGACAATTTAACAATCCAGTTAGTTAGTCTTGCCAAAAACAATGTATTTTAAAACTTGAATCAGCTGTGTGCTCTTAAAAAAGAAACAGTTTATCTGCTTGTAAAACTACATTTTTGAAGAACAAATAATCTACAATCCCTAGAGCTTCAAAAAACTAAGCCAAATTTGAGGAATTAAAAAACAACCATTTGAAAGAGCACAGATAAAAATACAAACAAAAACCCAAATTAAGATTCAAGAACTCATTACTATCAACGCCTCACGATCTTCACCTACTCCAATCCACTTTATAGGAACTCCAACAAATCCTTCAATGAACTTTACGTAAGTCTTGCAATTCTCAGGAAGTTCATTAAATGACCTAATTTTTGATACGTCATCTTTCCAGCCACTGAACGTCTTGTATTCCAATTCAATTCTACTCCAGTCAGCAGCACATGCTAAAAATTTTTAAACGTTGAAACAAACAGAACCACCTATTAATCAAGTTTCGCAAGAGACTTACACGGAGGAGCTTTCAAAGACTTCCCATCTATTCTGTATCCAGTAGCCACCTTGATTTCATCAAAGTTATCCAGTATATCAAGCTTCGTTAGAGCCAACCTGAATTGAAAAATTAAAGACACACGATTGAAAAAGAAGGAGAAACAATAAAATAATGGACACAGCATTTAAAAAATGTGAAATATTAGTGGAGGGAGATCTGCTTCTGAAAAATTGGGCTGATATAGGCTGTGAAAAAAGATAAATGATTAATGATGAAAAAGTTTTTTTTCGAGAGTACAATGGCTACGAATCCTTTACCACGAATTTCTTGGGTACACATTGAATCAAAAGCTTTTTATCTTTCAACATCTTAATTTTACCGCTATCGAAAAACTGAAATCCTCCTCCAATATTCACAATTTCACTTTTAGCACTGAGCTTGGTAAACAGTTTAGAGTTAAACGAAATTTAACAACAAGCAACATACGAGAAGCAGTTATTTCAATTTTCAGAAGAATCAGCAAAATATTTCACTGTTCGGTGCAATCTGACTCAGACGATTATCGCAATTTAACTACATGAAGAATGCAACTAAAAAATTACGCAGTGAATCCATTAATGACACTAGACCGTTTCAAAAGAAACAAGTCTAACCAACCACATCGGCGTTTACGACCAGTTGTGACTCCCACCTATAAAGTAACTTCTATGT